AATCTACTATAGTCCTTATTATTGGGACCCCCCCAAAAGGGTACCCCTACATCCTGTATCCCATGTTTGGATGGTCTAGTCATCTCAGGGCGGCGCAACATTCTTCAGCAGCGTCCCTGAATTTGCAGCTATGGATTCTGCACCATGATGGAATCCTCACTTGAAAGACTTCATCAAAGGTCTAGCACTTGGCAGGATTTTAGGACAGGTTAGTGGTTACTTGCTACGAAGAGTGAGAACCACTTGGGTTGGTTTTTCATCCGATAGTACTGGCAAGGCACGCAAAACCTTGCTTGAAGTCTGCCCGACATGTAAATATGTGCTAGAAGATGTCAATTCTGAAGCTCCAAACTTCCAAGAACCCCTAAACATCCGACATCCTCAGAGCTCCATCTTGACTTTGTCCACACATGAGCCATAGTCTAAACTCCTTAAAGGGGGGGTTATATAGGGCATTATATAGGGGACTACTATAGAGGTTGTTAAGGGGGATACTACGAGGAGTTTAGACTATAGCTCACATGCTCTGCCGGCAGGGAACCCAGGAGGTGCGAAATCGTGCCTGGCCGTTACCAACGGCGGGGCCCCCGGCCAGCAGAGCTCGTGTAAAGCCGGCGGGGGAATGGGTTTAGGGTTTAGGGTTTAGGGTTTAGGGAGGCGCTCTGCCAGTTTGGTGGAGGGCTCCCTGTAGTGACATATCCAAGGGTGGGCCCTAAATCCCTATATTCCCCCAGTTCCCATTTCATTTTCCATTTTATTTTCCGTTTGATTCTCCATTATAGTAGTTTCCATTTTATTTTCCATTATCCCATTATAACCCCAACCCTAAACCCTAAACCCTAAACCCTAAACCCTATACCATAGGGGTTTCCATTTTATTTTCCATTATCCCATTATAACCCCCAAATATCACCCCAATATTGGGCCCGGAGTAAAACCAGGCCTTGGCTTCAATACAATACTTCAGGCTCGAAGCGCTGGGGCTCAGGGTTGAGAGTTTAGGGTTTAAGTTTAGGGCTTTAGGGTTTGGGGTTTAGGGTTTAAGGGCTTAAGGTTTCGGGTTTTTGGTTGCGCTCGAAGGCTGTGGAACTTGTTCGCGAGACACGGGATAGCACGTACCACTTTCTGATCTTCCGCCCGAACCCCAGAAGCCCCTTCTCAAAATGTTAAAGCACCCCCACCCCTCTAACATATAATATGCTTAATATAGTCGACCCAATTGGAATATTTAATCCAGTGGGGTAAAGGGTTTTAATATCGGCTTGAACCCTCAACCTCAATCTTTATGAGCTCTAAAACCCAATGCCCTAAGCCTTAAGTCCAAAGCCCTGAGCCCCAAGCCCCAAATCCTAAACCTCAACGCCCCATGCCCACCAAGCCCTAAACCCTAAGCCCCAAACCCCACTCCCACACAGCCCCAAACCCTGAACCTCAAACCCTAAACCCTAAACCCTTTGTCACTTGCCACAAAGCGACATCCAGCCGCAATTTCCGTGTAAGCTTTGCAACCAGTTGTTTCAAAGTGCTGCAGATGTTGGATCACTTGTCGAAGGTCCATGCGCAGGGATCTGGCATAGGGAGAATAGGCGGCACCTCTTGCGAAGTTTGCATGAAGGATTTGGGAGTTTCCCAAAATTAGGGGTATCATTTTAGGGGTCCCAATAATAAGGACTCTAGTATTTTGGGGTCTATATTGGGGTCCCCTTATTTTGGGAAACTACATTTCTTCTCTACGAAACGCCTTCACCTCCACTTACGGAAAGCGCAGACATGCAAATGTTTTACCTTGAAAGTGATGTGGCTGTTGATGGACCCCGTGTGAAGGGGTCTTTTAGAACTTGGCAACCAGCTACCAGGGTCCAAAAACCTGCAAATTTTTGGGCCCATCTGCGTCCTGTTGCTCCGGGTGAATGTGTTGAAGAGGGTCCAGGGGCGACGCATGTAAGGGTTCTTCTTGCTCTGGCCCGGACGTGCCCATCTTCCAATGATGCTGGGAAAGTCGCTGTCTTCATAAGAGGTGTTTTAGGGGTCTCGCTTCTATCTTATCATGCTGTAGCTGCAAGCCTAATGACCTTCATTGTTGTGCAGACGACTTGCAGATTGGAACTCTTCACCTTACCGTTCTTTTTGATGTTTTACGTGTCTTGTGAAGTTTTCGGACTCTGTTGTTGGTTCTTTTGAAGGCGAGGCATGGTGTTTTCGATGTCGTGACAGCTTGCTGCTTGTTGCGCCTCGTGGCACATGTCTTTCAGAGGAGTTCCTTTGCTTGCGAGCTCGGCATGTGAATTCAGCAAGCACCCAACCTGGATCTACCTATGGTCCCCCTTAAGTAGATAGGTGTTATATTGGGATAATGGAAAAGAAAATGGAAGCTAGTATTTAGGGTTTAGGGTTTAGGGTTATAGTCCCCCTTAAGTAGATGGAATATATGGGGTATATGGGGATCTTATTATAATGTACCCAAAGCCATATTCTATCTACTCAAGGGGGGCTATAAGCGCAAGCAAGCAAATTAAGCCCGAGCTTCTCCGGGAGCCTAGGCCGATCATCGTGCTTGCGCAGACCTCTTCGCGCTCTACATGTACAATCTGTGGGGGGCTCATACATAGGGTTTAGAGTTTTGTGGGGGGCTCATATGAGCTACGGACTAAATTTATGTTGGGGTGGACCTATGCAAGGTATATACTACAAATTTAATCCAGGGCTCATATATAGGCTGATATTGGCTTATACATCTTGGTTTATATAGGGTTATAGTGGGTTGTATAGGGTAATATGGGGTTAGATTGGAATAATGGAAAAGAAAATGGAAACTACTATTTAGGGATTCCAGCTCAGTATTTTTGAGGTTCTAGGAAGGTCGTGGGCTTCAGAGTTCTATGGACGGCCCATAGGTTTGGGATATACTTTGGGGCATCTTTGAGCCTGGACCCACGCAGCAAAGGCAACTGGAAGGATGCTGGCAACTGGAGTTTAGGGTTTAGGGTTTAGGGTTTAGGGTTTAGGGCGTCTCGCCGCGCGGCGGCTGAAGGTCTTATGTAGATATGGCGCCCCGACACACCCAG